AGTACTGAAATAAGTGAAACACAAGTAGAAGAAAGGCCTGGCATAGAAGTTTCTGCAGTATGAGCTTTATAATTATGCACTAGTTTTTTACAAAGATATTATAACTTTAGTATATGCGTTAATTTAGGGGATATTATGCAGGATAGCGAATGGAAAGAAATATTAGATGAAATAAACTCTCAAGGTTTTAATCATAAAAATATAATTGATAGAATAAAAGAAAAATTATTAGCGGCAGAACATCAAGATATACATAGAAAATGGCAGAGAAACAGTTTTGATGTCAATTATTTGTTTCCACTTCAAAATGAACATATAGACGGTGAGTGCACATTATTACATCTTGCTGCTAGTTATGGCTTAAAAGACCTAGCAGCGGTTCTATTAAGAATAGGTGCAAAGTTTAATGTTAGGGATCAAGATGATGCAACTCCTTTACACTTGGCTGCCAAAAATGGTCATATAAAGGTAGTAAAAGTTCTATTACAAAAAGGTGCAGATCCTTCATTAAAAAATGAAAATGGTCAAACTCCAATAAACTTAGCTCAGAATAATAATATAAGGCAGCTTTTGCAGAGGGCAAAAAAAAGAAAAGTACTTCACTCAGCTATACTAATATGTATGACTGTTAATTTAATTGTAACACTTGAAGTTATAATGGCAATGTTGAATATTGCACAAGGAACTGTTCCTATTGTAATAATGCCTATAATGTTGATATTTACTGTAATTATGATAATTGCATTAGCTATAACAGATTGTGTCATTGCACATGAAGCACTTGCATTTGATATTGATGAACCTAATGCTAACGAACCTAGTAGTGAAACAAGTGAAATACAAATAGAGGAAAGTCGTGACATAGAAATTTCTGAAGTATGAGTTTTATAGTTCTGCACTAGATTTAACTTTTTTGACAAAGATATTATAATTTTAATATATATGTTAATTTAGGGGAAATTATGCATTATAGAGAATGGAAAGAAATATTCAATGGAATAAATTTTCAAGGTCTCAGCCATGAAAATGTAATCGATAGAATAAAAAGCACTTTAAACAGAAAACGTCCAAGCACATATATAGCTAACTCAAATAAGATTTGCTTAATTCTTGAAATACAAAATCAATAGCAGCGTTAATATTCGGCCAAAATTGGTAGTGCTTTTTTAGTTTCATTTTTTATGGCAAACCAAAAATGCTCAATTGGGTTCAAATCTCACTGTTACCCACAATTTTGAGAAGCTATTATATGGAGCATCACCATGCTTTCCTTAAGATTTTCATAGCCTCGCCATAGAGTGTA